GGTAAACGACTCGATGTGGTAAAATCCTGAAGCCGGAGGATGAAATACTGACACCACCTGCACGGCTGGTTATGTGCGGCTAAAATGAGAAGTGAGATTTTCTGGACCTTTGAACCCCTTAAAAAGCTTTCAGCTTCATTATAAAAATTACAGTATATCTATCAGTGCATCAGGTGGTCCAGGTGTGTGATTAGGAGGCTTCCTGTGTGCCTCATTACAAGGTTTATTAAGCTGTACGACACCCAGAAAGCCACAAACTTCCTCCTGCACCGCTGCACCGCTGTCCAAAGACGACTGAAATGTTCCTTTATTACCATGAACACAGACCCACTCCCACATGCATCACTGTGCTGCCCCTAAAGTAACAGGTTGACTAATCCGCCATGAAAAATAGTCCCCAATAAACACACCTTTTCCTCCTGTTAAACAAAAACTTCCCATTTTCTTTTTGTGTGGTATCAAAAAGGAAAAAAAAAAGCCAGCCATCAAGAAGTACTGGTGTCAGCAGTTCATCCCCCCCAGTGTCGTCTGAGACGTGAAACAGCGCCGCCTGCAGCTAAACCGCAGCGCTGCACGGACAAACTGAAACAGCAGATGTTGTGGTTGTTAAACGTTAAACGGATGGACGAGCATCTCTAACACGACACAGACGGACACGGGTGAGATTTGTATTAGTTGTTCTCGCTGTACATGAAAATGGAATGATGTGCTGAAATTTGATTCTACTCTACTTTCTCTACTGAAATCGTGCGTCAAGTTTTCCTTCCATTTACTGAGAAGTGGTGCGATTTTTTTTTCTTGTGTGTGATTATTGTCCACCTGTCCTTAATTGTATCACCTCAAAAGTCACTCTAACATTACATTAACATGTTATTGCATCAGACATGAGCTCTAACCTGTTCGACCATCAGACATGAGCTCTAACCTGTTCGACCATGATATTCACTTTAATTAAAACAAGAATCTTTTTTAAAATCACTGAACCCTTAAAGCTCACCAGTCAGTCATCAGCTCCAGCATGCGCCTTTTAGCTTAAATTTTATTTTTTATCCTATTGCTGCACAAGATGCACCGCGACTCTCTGAGGGGAACAAAATAGGAAGCATGTGTAAAACAATAATTATATTGATGATGATAATAATAATAATAATAATAATAATGCAGTAACTGTAAACAAAAACAAGGGTCGACTGATCGATTGTTTGTTGGCTGTTATGAGTTTCATGATAACAGTGTATTGACGATTACAATGAAGTGACAATACTGTGTCAATAATGCACGTGTAACGTACACTTATGAGTAACTCTTCTCTTTTTATAGGTATGCCTAGACTTGATCAAACCTTTGACTTTAACTATTTTGAATTTTAAATTCTTTAAATCTAACCAAGGAAAAAGAGCAGATGAGCTTGGGTAAGAGAATGAAAGTTTAGGCACACAACGATGTGTGCCGCTGGTAAAGTTTCTGGGCTGCTTTTCCTCATAACAGCCATCCCTCAAGATTTTCTCCATTTAAAGCAATGCATCGTCAGGGACTGTAACATCGAGTCCTTTTACTGAATCTTTGATGAATGCATAAAAATACAGCCCGAGTCGACCTGTTCGTATCTGTCTGAAGTCTTACTGCTTAAATAGCTGCTTTTATTACGTTTTTATTAGTTTGGTGAAAGAGGTTAACCGCCAGAAAACGTTTTAAAAATCGTCCTTCACCTGCTGGAGCTGAAACAATGCAGCAAATGAAACAGGTGGCTTTAAATGAGTGTAAACCTTCTGGGGTTCAGGAGTGATGGTCAGGCATCTCATTTTAAAGTTTGCTCAGTTTAAATATCAGAGCTGCTTTTATCTGAGGTGTCAAAAGTAAAAACACCGGGACAAAATGAGGCACCAACCGTGCTG